TAAAGTGAAATTCATCGGTACGTCTTCACTGCAAACAGACTATATATGAGCTCTTGAATCAATTACAGTCGAATGAGGTATGTCATATTTTCCTATTTCAATGTCCAGATGTTGCTTTTCTCAGGTGGAAAACTGTAAGTCACACACTTTTGTGAGGGTTCGTCTTATCCCCAACATGATTCCAACCCACGGCCTCTAGACGCTGGATCTCACACCCTGAACTTCAAAACGTAAAATGGGACTGGAAGATTACACGTATGAAAATTGTTTCCTCTTTCATGCGATCCTACATGTGAAGATCCAGGTTAGAATTGGTTTTCAGCAACCCATGCTTGTCGCAAGAGGCGACTAACAAGATCGGGTGGTCAGGCTCATGCTGTTTATCACTGGATTGCCTGGTCCAGACTCAATTATTTACAGACCGCCGCCATATAGCTGGAATATTGGTGAGTGTGGCGTCATTGGCGGATCCAGAGGGTTGTTCAGGGGGTTTGAACTCCCCCCCTTTTGAAAATGCCTTAAGACCACATTGAACTTTTTTTTTGCGTTGGCGGAGCCAATGGGGGGTTCGAACCCCCTCACTCACACACACACACACACACACACACACACACACACACACACACACACACACTTCAAAATTCCTGGATCTTTAACAAACATACAAAGCAAACTCTCATGCGATTCGTTCAATGGATTTGGGACTGCAAAGGATCCTGCGGCAAGCCGTACTGGGTTGATTTGTGGTCAAAGGGAAGTAATCGTATACAATAGCTCCCAACCCACCATCACAACATCGCTGCATCAAGCTAATTTGAATATCACGTTTTCTTTGTAAACAAACACGTTTATACTGAAATCAGAACAGACTGGTCAAATGAAAGCTCATTCGGTGTAAGATGTATGACAATACATGTGTTATACATCAAACTGACTGTAGAGCCAGCTCGCAGTTGGACTTCGATGACAGCAAGTGCAGCGGTGCAATCAATGTAAACAAAACATAACTACGCAAATAGAAATAGTAAATCACGTTTAAGGATATTTCTCAGTGAAAGTAAACACTGCTATGACAAATGTTTATGAAGTTGTGTAGAGTCGTTGAATTTGAAACCGGTGAAAAAAACATAAGCATCTTGACTGGACTGTGTCGTTACAACGCGCCACTGATAGAAGTAATATACTAAAGTACTGTCGGAAATAGAAAAAAACTGTATTTTCTCATTTATCTTTACAATTTATGTAGTTGATATGTGAAAGTGTGAAAGATCTGTTGATCTAAGTTCGGCCTAACTACAGTCTCGGTGGTAGAGAGATAGGAAACGGAGAAAAGGGACTTTACTGAGGGGAAATTAGTGCAGAAATGAGCAATGCGGGTTTTTTCTAAGTCCAAAAAGACTTATTTGGAACAGACCATGGCTTTATGCAAATTAGTGTGCGACGATATTGTATTACAAAGGACACTTTTTAAATGCCCAATTTGAAATTAGACGTAGATTCATTATAAACGATAGCTGACGTAAAAAATAATAACTTTTATGCCGAAACTATTAAGGATGTAGCTACCATGCAGTCTAACTGTCACAAAAAAGAAACAGATAGGAGGGGTCGTCTCAAAAGCAAAACATGGGGTCGGGCTTAGGGATAGAGATATCAGCTAAGATAAGATAATCCTTTTGGGCAATTATACTGGGGAGGTACACGGCACATCATAACAATTTACAAATAATATCCAGTCCTGTCGATCTTCGGGTGGTCATGCCACCTATATACTACGATGCGTTTCTTTGGTTTTCGGGTATCATACTCTTTTACATATCTCAACATAAACTATATGAAACTATATGAAAGAAAGACACGTTAGATGTTAATCAATAGATGAGACATAGTCAACACACATGAAAACGCACAAAATATCTTTGATATGACCCCTTGTGCCTGTAGGCAACACGTGCATTCCATGCCAGGTGAGTCGACGGTCCATCGTCATACCTGGCTGAGCGACCTAATTGCCATCTATAGTCTGACCTATTGTTTTCAGCAGCTATTCGAGTTTTGCCCGATTTTACGAGTAAACATGCTTTTCTGGATATCGTATTACGCATCCCACTGAACGCCCAGTTAGGCCGAAGTGGGTTATTTCGACATATGCTATTTGCAGTTGTGTAAATTTTAGGGATACAGAGTAGCAGCCTAAAAACAGTTTTTTCTATTTCCGACAGTACTCTGGTACTTGTCGCATTGAAGTCTGGGTTGGAAAGCGCTCAATCCCTTGCCTTAACTCAGCACAGCATCTCGCTTAAAACTTTGCACACGGCAAGTTCCCCCAATCGAAGCTTATATCGCCTACAACAAAATCAAGAGTTGCGTCCCTTTTCACTATGCGCCGCAAGTTTGCAAACCAAATGGTAGATACAGTGTAGTTACTTCCCTTTAACCATCAACTTCACAGGTCGAACGAGGCGTATCGATGTGGGCTGATGAAAGTAATGGAATGCGCCGCATGGGCCCGATTGAAGCTGAAATCGTACGTGTCCCTTCAGCATGTATTCAGCTAACTACACCTACATGAGTGCATGAAACCCTTGAGGCAGAACAGCGATATCGACCTCCATCATGCAGTCCTTTCCCAACCACCCCTACCTCGCGGAGGGCGGTGGAGTAGCCTAATGGTTAATGCGTTCGCTGGTCACGCCGAAATACTGGGTTCGATTCCCCAACTGGGTACAATGTGTGAAGTCCTATTCTTGTGTCCCCTGCCGTGATATTGGTGGAATATTGATAAAGGCGGTGTAAAACTAAACTCACTCACTCACCCTACCTCGCAGTGCGAGTCCATCCTCAGCCACTCTCTTAATTCGCAGCGCGAGTCCAGCCCCAACCGACCCCACCTTACAGCGCGAGTCCACCCCCAACTACCCCCATCTTACAGCGCGAGTCCACCCCCAACCACCCCCACCTTACAGTGCGAGTCCACCCCAACCACCCAATTACAGTGCGAGTCCACCACCAACAACCCCCATCCACACCTGGCAGTGCGAGTCCATCCTCAACCACTCTCTTAATTCGCAGCGCGAGTCCACCCCAACCACCCCCACCTTACAGTGCGAGTCCACCCCAACCACCCCCACCTTACAGCGCGAGTCCACCCCCAACCACCCCCACCTTACAGTGCGAGTCCCCCCAAGCACCCAATTACAGTGCGAGTCCACCAACAACAACCCCCACCTCACAGTGCGAGTCCAACCCCCAACCACCCCGATACCAGACCTGGCAGTGCGAGTCTATTCTCAACACCCCATCCCCAACCTCTCAGTTCAAGTCCACCCCAACCGCCCCTCTACCCCACGTTCTAAAACCGGTATAGAATATATTTTAAACATTTTCCGCAAAACATTCCATTCTGAGAAAGATGGTGACGTGTTAACATGTACGATGATATTCACTACACTCTACGATGCTTGATATACAATGAAGGTTTTCTTTGTACTTACGACAATTTGATGCAGGCTTCAACGAAAACAAATAATAGTGTGGGCTAAAGCCTGATTGAGGAGACAAGGAAAACTTAACCCCCTGGATGCCAGAGGGACATACATGTCCTCCTTCTACAACCCTCGCTTTGAAGTCCAATAAACATCTAAATATATCACGCACTCAAACACACTTCACGGTTTCGAATTCTGTGGGAAATTTCCTGTTCCTTGATACCATCCACTATTATTAATTAACACATGAAAACAATTCGGACAACACTTAGCAGTGACTATTTTTCAAACCGCCCAAGTATTTGCACTTGAGTTTACACTATCGGATAGGAAAGTTAATATTCAGGTACATGTGTGTGTACAATGTAATCGTATAGCTTTAGGTAGATCCAGTGCCGCGCAAACGACATTATCGTGCTACGTTCACTTTTCTGATCTTATGCGTCAGATAAAACCTCGGCATCACGGGGATTAATTAAATACATCATTAATTGAGAATCAGGAATGCTGGATGTTGGAAACTGAAGGAATCGATATGTACAAACCAGAAAATTGCGGAATGGTAAACCCGTTTGGTACTACTGAACATTAATGAGGATAAATTAGGGTTGAAAGCGCTTTTGTTTTATTAACGTTTTCTCAAGGGGGTTAATCTCAGAAAGCTTCAAGGTTATTAATAAATAAATACACGATTAAAAGTGCTTTTAAATATATCATAATATCAAACGATGTGTTTGACTCATCTAGCTCTGTCTGTGTTCCGATCAATCGTTTTACGGCAACGTGTGTCACAAGCATTAGGAAGACAATTCAATAATTCACCTTCCTGTATTTCAGTCAATAACATTAAGCGCAATGCCAGCTGGCAATGCTTTTCTTTTCTCAAAACTGAAGTTGGAGTTGCCGAGTTATATAATTACCATTGTGTTTGACGGATAGACAATGAAAAATATACTGGGGAAAAACGTGCGTCCGAAATGTTTTGCAAAATTTTAGTTTGAATGTTCTGGAGAATGTGTTGTAAAAACAGAGAATACGCATTTGCCTCAGATATACTACCGACATACAGGTAAATGACTACAAAAGCAAAACAAAAAACGTATATACGTCCTTGGCAAAACTTTGCAAGAAATGAGAGAGAAAATCAGTTTCTTCATCACTGCCAAATTTTTTTACGCCGCTTTTAGAAATATTCCAGCAATATTGCGGCGAGGACACCAGAAACGGACTTTGTACCCATGTGGGGAATCGAACCCGGGTCTTCAGCGTGACGAACGGACGCTTTAACTATTAGGCTACCCCACCACCCCTTTAAAAAAGAGATAGTAAATCCGTGCTACCACAGACCGTACTATCCATTTTCAGAATCATGAACAAGACGCGTCAGTGTTGATGTAAACATAGTGCGATTCGTCATCATCATTCCATGACGTCATCGTTACAATACAATAGGTGACGTCATGGTGACGTCATACGAGAATCATGACGTCACATTCAGGAATGTAGCTAAACGTTCAAGCCTACGTTGACACAAATGCAGTATTCAAATATGTTTTGCGTTAATCTATTTAAAAAGGAAGGCGAAGAGTAAAGAAGGCGAAAATGGCGCAAGCGATGAAGATAATCCAGGCCTTCAAGGTGAAGGCCGCTCTCGGAAGACTGGCTCGAGCTAAAGAGAACGCTCTTCGGGCAATGGCGGGACTTCCACCAATCCGACCATGGTATGAGGACTGTTACATAAGCTGCATGCGCGGATTAAAACAAATGTGCTGTAAGGCATTTTGCCCGTGTTGCATTAAACCGTCACGCCCAAGGTTAAAGAAAATCCCAGTGTCGTGCTGCGGGCGGATGTTTACAGCAGATACCTACGAAAATGAATGTCTGAAGAATTTCCTCGGATTCTTTAGTGGCATCGCGATGTCGTTTCTGGTGTACTTACTGATGGCCCTGCAGATGAATCTTCCCTTGCTGACATCTACGATCATATCATCCAGCCTCGGTCTGGTGCTTAGCCTCGGTCTGGCATTCTCGGAGACGTTTCGCTGCGTTGTTCTGTTGATGCTTCCCTCGTTTTGTTCAAGTAGAGGCCGCTCCTTCCTCCTTATGTACGCTACCATCCTCATACTCAACCACCCCGTCACCAACTTCAACCACAACATTCTCGTCATGTCCGAGAGCGCCACCTGTGGGCAAAGTTTGGCACTAAATGAAACTAGAAAGCTTCTAGAAGAGGCTATGTCACCTGTCGCGGCTCTCATAGACGGTATCAGAGACATGCTCCGTGCGATAAGACGATTTGCCGAGACTATTCGACAAGCATTTCTGGCTTTAAAACGAGCTATTCAGGAAATAGGCGAAGCTATTGGAAGAGTCCTAGACTGGCTGAAGTCTATTGTCAGTATCTGCAACCACAACATGGGTGCCCCATATCGCAGGTGTAGGAAGTCATTTGACGAGGCTATACAAGACTGTCGAAATAGACTTGGTGTGTTTAAATTCATTTGCGAAGTTGTGGATTGGGTGGCGAATGTGTGTCATATTGCACGTGCAGGTGAACTGTTTTGTCTTGTGACGTCAGAGATCGCGCATCACGTGGGACGAACTATCGGGAAGCCCGTCACGAAGATCTTAGACAGCATCCACGACATGTTCTACTTTAACATCACGATCGACTACCACTACAGCCTACATATGAATCAGTCCAAGAGCTATGAGCAGATCAAGGAAGAAATCATGGAGGAAATCAAAGGAACGTTAAATCGTCTCGTTGATCTCATCAACGTCGCCGACCACGTCATGACGTTCATGGTCACATTTGTGGTTATCAAAGCAGTTATGTACAGGTATGATTATCTTAAATCAATCAAGAGCCGACTTAAATATTTTTAGGTAGTCTGATTCGGATTCGGATTCGGATTCGTGTGACTCGGGCTGCTTTGATCGTTTTTCGAATTCTCGATATTTTCTTTTTGAATTCTCTACAGTTTTGCCCGCTCAGGGCCAAAGATATACTTGAATTCTAAAAAGTATCTTCCGCTTTGTGTTAGCATTTGCTCCTCCTAGGTCCTATACTCCAATACTTTAAACCGGTCTCTGGTGTCCCTAGGACCTGATATAGCTAGAATATTGGTAAAAGTGACGTAAAACCACACTAATTTCTTCATCTTTGTACTAGAAAACGATACCATGCAACCTCAAAAATCATACAGAGTAAACATTTTCACTTGTTAGATAATGATTGATCCAGTTTATGAGTTACTGTGTGCTACTTTAACAGTACTATTCAGCAGTACTAAGTTTCTACATTTTGCATTTAATGTTTTCCGACTTAAACAAACCTGCCTATAAATTTATACCAGAAACAATACGGAGCTTGTTAACCTGACCGACCCAATCAATAGAATGCGTGCACGGTTTGAACAATGTAAATTTACTTTGCATACAAATTTGGCCACAACGAAGTAAATCTTATAAAGTGAAACCCCTCAAGTACCGAAACCCCTCTGTCTGGACGATTCCTGATGGGAAGGTCTACATATAGGACTGACTGACTGAGTTTAGTTTTACGCCGCTGTTAGCAATATTCCAGCTAATTCACGGCGGGGGACACCAGAAATGGGCTTCACACATTGTGCCCATGTGGGGAATCGAACCCGGGTCTTCGGCGTGACGAGCCAACGCTTTAACCACTAGGCTACCCCACCGCCCCTACATATAGGAAGAACATTTGTTAATCCGGACAATTCCCTGCGTGTATCATCTGAGCACATCTGTTGTTTTCATGTTTCAACTTTAGGTGCTATTAACGAAACATTTGTTTCTTTTCAGATATAAATACATCCACAAAAGCCATTTTGACAACGTATTCATCACTGCGCATGTTCATCGAATTGACGAGCGGCGTCAGGAGTTGGGACGAGAGACCATCTTCCCTTTAATGCCAGATGAGAATACGAAATACGGTCGTGCTTCTTCTCCCAGACTTCTCAGGTCGGAGAAGATGAAGATGGCAAAAGGTATCGTGTTCTGGACATTTGCTGCAAGTCACGGTTGCTACTACCTAATGTGCGACTACGGTTTGTACTGGGTCCTGTCTCTCATCAGAACCCACTTCGAGGTCAAGACCAACTCGGCAATTCCACCACACACCAAGTTACACGTGCAGGGAGAGGGGGCTATGGCGGACATGTACCGAGCTTTGATATCCGTCCTTGACCCCGTGTCCGACGTTTACCTTGATGTGGACACCTCCCACTGTCTGCCAAATCCGGCGGTGCCGAACTTTGCCATCTATGAAATTGTCGCGATAATATACGGAGTGTGTTTCTTCCTGTCAGTGTCTGAAGCATACGCCTTGCGCCTGCGTCACGTGATTGCCGCGTGCTACCACCCAGGTCGGGAGGAACAGAGGGCAGTGTGGTTGTACAATCATATCCTCAAAACCAGGGGTGGTTTCCTCAAATTTGCCCGGCGGCAAATACGGCGGAAGTACATGCAGGACCAGGATGTTCAGAAGGCGAGCTTCCGGTCCCGACTGGCAGCTCAGTATCCGCTATTTAGGAAGCTGTTGAAGTTTCTAGGATATGAACGGAAGATGTGTCTGTTGTGTGGTAAGGAAGGAAAGAAAAATGATGAGGAAAATTTCCTGGATTGCGTCAGCAGTGGCTGCGAAGCCGTGTACTGCATCAACTGCTTCGACGACCTCCAGAACATGTGCACGGCATGCATGAACCCCGTGGACTACGGCGACCTCAGTGACGTCAGCGAGGAGATGGATTCAAGTGAGGATGAGGAAGAAATTGAAAGAAAGAAGAAGGATGCACTTGAAAGGAAAGAAAGACAAGCACAAAGGAGGGAAGAAAGACGCGCTAGTCGAATGTTATTAAGTTTCAAAGAAACACTGAAGGTATCGTCCACTGTGGATATCAGCGAGTCAACGGACAGCTCCAGCTCCAGTTCAGATGGCAGCTACACTTCTAGTTCTGACGATGAGGACTACCATTACCAATACCAGAAAACAGGATCAGACCTCGAAGAATCTGACTCTGACCAATCAAAACCGTCGACAAGGGGGAGATCACTCAAAGCATGACTATGTCACTACCGATATTTTTCGGTCTGGCGAATATTCAGACTCGGAGACAGATGCTTCACTGTCTGATCCCCTGTTTTCTTCAGACGAGGACGAGTATGGTCGTCGCTGAATATACACTAGTAGTAGTTTTCTAAACTGACTGACTGAGTTTAGTTTTACGCCGCTTTTAGCAATATTCCAGCAATATCACGGCGGGGGACACTAGAAATGGGCTTAACACATTGTGCCCATGTGGGGAATCGAACCCGGGTCTTCGGCGTGACGAGCCAACGCTTTAACCACTAGGCTACCCCACCGCCCCGGTTTTATAAACCGTTGAGCATGAATATTAATGTTGGAAAAGGTAAAACATTAGCAGTACGCCTAGCAAGAACTGAAGATTTTTGTTCTTCAAAAAATGGTTATGCATTTATAAACCTCATATGATTCTTCACTATGGGCTCATCATATATCGTGGCCATTATTGTGATAAGTTCATATTCGAACTTAATTCAATAGTATGTGACTCAAGTGACTATCATATCATACAAAACATTTGCGCAGTTGTGACACTCAAATTATTTAACCTATTACAAAACTGTTGTCAACAATGAGATGATAAAAGAGACAACAAAATCATGTAATGTTCCCCGACTGGACCTAAATTACCCGGTCTACTGAATCTCAAGTTTATTAATCACAGCCATGTGGTTCTTAATCGGAATCTTCTGTGATAAACCAATCATTTGTGTACAGTTGTCAATAATAGCTTGTGTATAGATTATGGCAATTTACAAATGAAATGTTATACGTTGTTTACTGTATCAATTTATTATCGTTTTGGAAGTGACGGACGTCGCTAGGACAATCGCATAATTGTCAATCGATTGCACGGATATTTCTAGTGTCATCATCATTGAAGCAGAGGAAGTGACTGAAGTTCTGTATTTAAAAGTTTAATGGGGGCGGTGGGGTAGCCTAGTGGTTAAAGCGTTCGCTCGTCACGCCGAAGACCCGGGTTCGATTCACCAGATGGGTACAATATGTGAAGCCCGTTTCTGATGTCACCCGTATAGCTGGAATATTGCTAAAAGCGGCGTAAAACTATTCTCACTGATTCACTCACGCATTGCAGACATGACATGAATTTATTTCTGTAAGTAGGCCATCGGCCCATGTACAATCATAGTGAGTGAATGAGAGAGTTGGGTTTTACGCCGCTTTTAGCAATATTCCAGCAATATCACGGCGGGGGACACCAGAAATGGGCTTCACATATTCACCCATGTGGGGAATCGAACCCGGGTCTTCGGCGTGACGAGCGAACGCTTTAACCATTAGGCTACCCCACCGCCCATGTACAATCATAGGATACAAAATATCATTTTAGACAAGGCAATATACAAGGTTACACATTATTTACACACATTTGATCTGATCACGAGGGCATTCTTAATAAACTGCACAGTTTTTAGAAGAATACTGGTATCATTACATTGCATTAATTTTTTAAACTTAATGTTAGTTGGACATTGATCAAAATTTGGTAGATATACACTACGTAACATAACATATGCATCACAGACAAAAAGAAAATGTAATTCATCCTCTGATATATTATTGTTACACATGTTACATATTGTTGAGGCATAACTATCATCTTTTCGTCTTACATTACAAAGAAGGGGTAGGTGATGAAGTCTAAGTAAGCATAAATATCGTCTATAGTCTTTAAAATGTACATTTGAAACATAAAACTCTACATCTAATAAAGATTTAATGGTCTTGTAGTAAGCTTAATGCGATGATTCATTAATTCTACTCAATATGCTTTGCCCCTTTACATCAATAAGCCTCTGTTTGAACATCGATATAAAATGATTAATATTGCCAACATCATGACTAAACCACACAAATCCAAACCCGTTGATGTTTAACAAACTTTTTACATATCATACCAAAGTATATCTACCAGCTGAGTCGAGATTTTTCATCAAAATATAACATTGTTTAGGATACCTGTCTTCAGACATATGAAGTAATATACACCAGTAACGTACACATTTAACATAATAATCAACACTTATACAATATCTACCACAATCTTCTTATATAGCATTGCTAGAAACATGTTTACCTACGCCAAGAACATATTTACAGAAATTTGTATGAAATTTGTTAATTAACTGTCGTTCTTGATAACCCCACACGTCTACACCATAAAGTAAAATTGGCTTCACTTTGGTATCAAAGAGCTTAAAAATAATATTAACTGGAATATTTGGATACATGTAGATTAACTTCTTAATAGAAAATAATGCCTTGTTTGCTTTGGTCGATAGTGTCTCTGTACATTTAGTCCATGACAGACGTGTAGAGAAAAGTATTCCAAGATAGTTGTGGTATGTAGAAGTTTTGTGCTCCTTGAAGAAACCATTTTTCATAGTGATGTAATCTACCTCCGTTTCGAAAAACCAATATTTCTGTTTTATCCATGTTAACTTGTAATCCCCACGTTGTACAGTAGTCGTTTAGAATGTCAACGTTTCTTTGCAGTCCAATAACAGAGTCATCGAAAATACATAAATCGTCAGCATAAAGCAAAAGTAATATTTCTAAAAATTCAGATCTAACAAATATTCCTCAAATTTCCGCGTTTTCTAGCATTACCTGTTACTCTGATATAAACATCGTGAACAAAAAGGGGCTCAAGACACACCCTTGTCTAACTCCGCTAAGACAGTCAAAGTATTCAGAGATTGAGGAGTTTGTTATTCGGACAGCAGACATTATTTTGGAGTACATATTCTTTAGCACATTAAAACTTCGGCCATGAATATCATTCTTTAATAGTGTATACCAGAGAAGTTTTCTATTTATAGAATCAAAGGCAGTACAGAATGGGGATATAATACCCTGATAATCCAGGATGAATTATCAATTAATCCACTTCCATTTAAAATGCGTAACGTTTGTCGCATTGGAATAAATGAAATGAACTAAACGTTTTCTTATTGTATGTTCTTTTTTGCTCAAATACATTTTGCAATAACGTTTGGAATTTATAGCATGCGATATACTCCATACGACCGTTAGAATTATCAGTTGAAGCAGTAGTAAAATATACATTCTCGTTGGACTTAGTATCTTCGGAGAAGCTGTGTGTATGTGTTGGTGGGTGACTTATTATTATCTTCCTATGTCGTCCTTCGTGTTGACTTATTGCTGACTGTGACTCAAACAGTATTCCGCCTGGAAGCAGAAGATGTACGGATGAACAACATCTTTGTTACATTTGGAAGCGACGTTTCGGTGTATGCTCTAACACCGTTATCAAGTAAATCATGTACAGTGAGTGGGTATGGTTTTATGCCGCTTTTAGCAATATTCCAGCAATATCACGGCGGGGGACACCAGAAATGGGTTTCACATACTGTACCCATGTGGGGAATCGAACCCGGGTCTTCGGCGTGACAAACCAACGCATTAACCACTGGGCTACCCCACCGCCCAAATCATATACAGTCGGACTGAGAGGCATTCACAGCTATAAAAAATCATGCATATTTATAAAGCGCTAGAAGGTTAACAGTCATATGACTTATCGGGTACCCATTCACTACTTTGTGAACTAAGACAACTTTGAACAAACTCACTTGCCTAAGGCGAGACCACACGTCTGCTTAGTTGTGGGGCACTACAGAAGTCCTCGAAACTCTCAGGAGTCAAGATGCCGAACACGGTCACCCGACCAAGGACTCTCTGTGACGAGCATTGCTTAACTTCATCAGATTGGTGACCTGAGTTCTATGCACAGGACCACACACCACTACTTAGTTATTTATTCATATTGACCTCATACTGACCTCTTGGTCACGAAAGCCTAACAATATATGTACCTCTACAATAACGGTTAACACTCTGGAAAGTTACTGCCAAGCAGTAACATGTCCTGGAGTTACACTTCGTGATAACTGGAACTCGAGTATCTATATAAAATATATTCTGCCCCGGGAACTATGTTGAAAAACACTGTAAGAAGTACATTAGGAAAGCAAAAACACTGTTATCCCAAAGCATGTACCAAACACGTGCTCAGAAGAAAGAGTGAAAAACAGCAGAGTCGACACGAACTTCCCCAAGCTCCTTTTTAGTCGCGTAAATAGATCAATTTCTGTCAAATTCACAACATTGAAATGTCATGCAAAAATACAAACACGTTTTTTTGCTCCAGAATCACCGACTGAAAATTACTCAAAAAGACAACTTGTAAAAACATGTTTGGCAATTTAATTATATTCAGCATTCAGGTTTGGGGAATATCCTTTACCAAAATTAGTCACAAAAAGGTCTGAGTGAGCACGTCTCCGAACTAAGGGACCAAACACCCATCCCTGGCCACAAATATATTCAATTGGCTACCATTTAATCTATACAAGTACAACTTTTCAGTCAGCGGATCATATAAAACTGGGATTAATGCTTGTGGTTTGTTGGCAATAGAAGATGAATATAATTTTGCACTCTTCCGTCCATTTTACAGGAAAAGCTGATATTCGCTCATCTTTCTCTCTCTCTATCTCTCTCCCTCCCTCCCCCCTCTCTCTGTACCTTTCTCACACACACCCTCTCACTCTCACCTCTCCCTCACACACTCTCACATTCTCTCACACACACACTCTGTCTCTGTCTCTGTCTCTCGCTCTCTCTCTCTCTCTCTCTCTCTCTCTCTCTCTCTCTCTCTCTCTCTCTCTCTCTCTCTCTCTCTCTCTCTATATATATATATATATATATATATATATATATATATTTCACTCTCTCTCTCTGTGTGTGTGTGTGTGTGTGTGTGTGTGTGTGTGTGTGTGCGTGTGCTCAGAGCGTTTGCAGATAGCGAGTACAGTACTGACAGATAATCCACAGCTGTCTATATATACCAACCGCGGACTCGAGAAGTCAGGCTGTTCATTGTTACGTCACAATGTAGAACATTGTACACACGTTGTCCATGGAGTTTCGGGTCACGCTGACATGACATTATGACCTTGTCTCTCCTTCACTGCAGCTGTCATGATAACGTGAAGAATCTGTGACAAGTGTACTCATGTGGACGGATCGTGCAAGTCAGTGCGTGAAACTGTCACGTACAATCAT